CCTGTGAAAAACTTAAAGGCAGGCAACGACTTCGTGACTCTTCAGTGAGGGCCTAAGTGCGAAGGTATTTTGCCCCCAATACCATAGAAAAAACCAAATATCAACTACGTATTACTTAATGGAGCACTCTTCTAGAGTTAAATTTAACGCTGACATTCTTAAAGGTCGTTTTATATACCTTTATAAAACTTTTACTCCTAAACACACAAAAAATATCTTTATCTTCATGCGTTAAAGTCTGGTATCTATTAAAAGGTACAAAGGTTACCTTGAATGGTCAGAAAACTTACTTCCGTAATAAATATTGTTATCGATTACACGTTGTTCGACGTCTTTTACAAATTGATTTAAACAGTTAAGCTTCACGGGAAACCTCAAGCTTTTGATAAACTTAATCAGTTTCATAACTTAATAACTTTACACATCTCAAACACGGCAGTCTGATCCCAAACCAGGCAGAGCCTAGTTACGCTACGTTAACCAGCCTGCTGATAAACATTCTTCTAAATAATAATAATAATTATAAATCATTTATTTGACCAATATATATGTATATATAATATATTACAGTGTAGGGCATTTCGGTTTAAAATAGATCCTAGACAATAATTAGACTAAGTTACACTGGCGTAAAACTATAGTTATGTTATTTTATTCTTACTCGTATGATTGTATGATTCGCATCGTATGATTTTTTACACATAGATTTAGTTCAAAACTTTAGTAGCTGCCTACCTGAACTAGGGTAAACCTGTGTTTCAGTCGATCGCTTGACATAGATTTTTTTAACTAATTATTAATTAGGTAGAAACGTAAGATAAACATAACAGATCAATAGAAAAGATAAAAATACTACAAAGTGTACATATACAAAAGCAAGTAATAGAAAATAATATTAAACAAACAGATTATTTAAGACTCATTTAACAATTTCCAATACATTTTCCCTAAGTATTCTGATAAGATGATCACACATTTTTATTATTGAGGCTGTAGATATTTAGTATTATTAATTTTATTGTACGAAAAGGTCCCAAAAATCTATAAAAACTATGAACAAATGCAAGACTAGCTTGAGGCCTGCTACATACTATGTCCTTCCTTCCCTTATTTGATGGTATGGGGTTATAGGGAAGATGAGTATGCTGTTTGAGAATGTTGTGCAATACAAATAACTGTCTTACTGTTAGTACATTACATGCCATGTAAAGCTCGTGTGTGTTTGAAATATGAATGGGTTGGATTTCGCCACCTTAAGAAAGGCTCTTGAGTGCGCTCTAAAGGCAGTAGTATTGTCTTTGCTGCACCACCCCATGAAGTAATGTTATAAGAAAGCATTGATTGACACAGCGATAAATACACTTGCCTTAATAATGTGTAATCGGCTACATTACCCTTGTGCATATTAAATCAACGTGCTTGCGGCAATTCAAATATTGGTCAAGGATGACACCTAAATATTTCACATCATTGGAGTTTGCTAAAGCAGGGCAGGTACACGCAAAATCAGCAGATGTTTTGCAGCTATGTGCGTGTATCTTTGAATTAATAATAGGTATGTTTGTGCCCCTCATTGAAAATATTATGTATTTTGTTTTATCTGTATGTAGCCACTATGTTAAAGACTGTCTGTCCGAGCTCAAAAACCTCACTACGCGATTTCGTTGTAAATAATAAAGCTATGTCATCCGCATAAAATATTATGACACCACTTGGTATCTTCAGACTTATAAATACAGTCATATTATAGATAAATTGCATACAGATAGAACTAATGATCGTGCTCATTACACAATTATTTGTCCTGGGTGGGGATCGAACCCATGACCTTTAGCAGTCAGGGTCACTTAGCACTAGACCAGTAGGCCAGTTGTATACTAGGTAAAGACATAACAGTTACAGGATATTTCTCTATTAGCTAAACAGCCATCAAATGAAGTAAGTGATTGTATACTCTTTATTAGCTTTATTTAGCTTCACCGCGAACTCATAAAGGTAAGTGATAAATTATACAAAAGCTTTCCCGTTGCTCGCGCCACATCAATTCAATAAAACTGTATTTGGGAACGCGGTGAGTTTATTGATTAATTCTTTGTCTTAGAAAGCGGAGCGTTTAAAACTAGTACTAAAAACTTTGGTATAAGCAACTAGTTTCATCCTTTTTTAAACAATAATTTGTTTGCCTAATATACTGAACGCTTGATTTTGAAAAAGATTTCAACTAAGTAGTACCTTTTTGGACAAGAAAATAACAGCAGATTTTATTGCGATGAAAGACGAACGTACGAATAGATAGAATATTTTCAAGATACCAGATACCAGATATTTATGTTATGGTCTAAGGGTCAAACGAGTAGACAGGTCACCTGGTGGTAAGTGACTACCGCTGCCTATGGACACTGGATTGTGGCATCTTGCACATAAAATGAAACGAAGAAACACATTACAGCGCCATCTATCGAAGACACAGCGATCTACGGAGGAACTGCTAATCCTGTATCGCGATATGAACAATTCTCTCGCCGATTAGCATATGTACAACTTCCTAAAATCCAACGTGGCTGTGGCCCGCTAAGCATGGTCGGAGGATCCTCCCTTTGTGTTGGAGGACATGACACCCATTCCGTCAGATGAAAAATTGGACACTTGTAGCTCAAGAAGCACAAGTGCGTTGGTGCACTTGGAGTCTTTCTCACCTAAAATTATGGGGAAAGGGGTTTGTGTTTCCATTAACCTCACTTACTCGGTGAAAAGCAATAAAGAAATTGCTTCACACCGGTTGTCTGTGAGGCCGCTTTATCACTCCGGTCGAGTAACTCACTGGTAACTTATATAAGTAGATCAGCTGATAAATGAATGAAATCAATTGACGACTGACGACGAAAGACTGCACGGATGGCATAGGTGGATTAAGCGGTTGCCACGCCGCTCATTACTACGTTGAGTGTTGTAGGTCCAATCCACAAATTGTTGTTCTGAGTGTGGGTGTTCTTTGTGTCCGTTTTAGGTATGTTTGTAAAGTCGCGCGACATAGAATATATAACTAATGTTCGAGTAGTCTTTAAAAAAAATAATAAGGCAATGCGATTAACTGTCTGTACAATGCCATGTAATTTATGAATCGTCAGTTTAAACGGACCGAGAATTGAAATTTATTTAATTAGTCATCAATAACAATTAATTTAATCAAGATAATTATGCATAACAGTTGGCGATCCAACCTCTCGAACTAGGTAAACACCTGTATCTCGAGAGATAGTGCCCTCCTTAGCGTTACATTTTTAATATTTAAAAGCGTGTGTGTGTGCATGCGTGAGTATGTGTGTGTGTGCATGTGTGAGTATGTGTGTGTGTTGGTATGGGCGTGTGTGTGTGAGGGTGTATGTTGTGTGTGTAATCAAGCTACAAGATAAGTGGATATGTGAATGTAACTCTTACTTAATGTGACACAATTTCAAACACATACACACCAACACTCAAAGGCAGAGGCGTAATAAAACGCTTATATTTTACCAATCATAATTTTAGTTTCACTTACGTAATAAGAGGCTTTAAAAACCGGAGTTAGATAACTAAATAAGGAGTATAATAAACGGGTAAGGATATTAAGGGATATTACTTAAGCAAAAGCTCGAACTGGCTATTGCTAAAAAGTACTACACCTGTAACTGAATACACACAATAACACAATCATCATCAACAGCCTTTAGTGCTGCAACAACTGCTGGACATAGGCCTCTCCTTTAAAAGGAGGTTTTGCCCTACAATACCATTGGTCGGTATAGGGATTGTTTCAAATTAACACAATATTTCAAACTGATGCATGAATGTACCACCAAAACTACAAAGGAATGTAAGAGTACCAGCCCTAAGCCGCCCGTTTTCATCAACATCCGTTCTGATCCCACTTTTATTACGCCAATATATTGGAAATTGAACATTTTTGCAGTTCCCCAATTTCCGTTCCTTTCAAATACCTTCCTTACCTTCATCTGGGGTAATAGAATCTAGACATGAAATCGCTTATGAAATTGGATATTTACATACAAAAATGATTAACGTACTGGTATATAATATGTGGCTTATACTGAAGTGAAGTGAGAAAAATGTTGGAGAGCTCTTCCCTTTTATAGCTTTTATTTCGTTTCTTAAATGAAAAAAATACTCATGTTAGGAACGAAGGCTACAAATTACTAGAATGTTAGGACGTAGGAGTGAGTTTACGTCGATAGTGCACTGGGTTCGAACCCGCAACTACACTGTCGTGGGACACACGATTTTGAAATTAAGCTACTTGTAAAACATGGGCAGGTTGTACAGGCTTTTAAAAATATACATTCTAAATGAAATTTTAATTTCGAAGTGTACAAGTTCACTTTAAGAAAGCTAATTAAAAAAGATTCATTAAACATTAGTTTTCAAAGTTAAATACAAAAGTACAATGACACTACTCAACTTAAGTTTATGTAGTTTTAAACTGAAATGTGTATTTGTAATAAAACCATTTTAAAAAGTAAACGTTAAGAATAAGAAAAAGCTACTTAGAAACGATGACTACTCTTAAAGAAAAGCTAATAAAAACAACTTTTTTTATTCATTCTGAAGTTATTAAGCAGGTAATTTATACTCTAAATAATAGTACATGCGAATTAATAAAATGCAATTATCTATCAATAACACCCCTCTGAACAAAAACATTGCAAAGTTTAAACATAATGTCGTATTCTATTTAATAATCTAAAATGTAACCAACATTAACAAAATCAAATACAAAACACTCCCTCAACAAAATCAATTGCTGAACATTTTATACACCGATTTATTTAAGACAAAAGTTATCGGTTCAAAGGGAGCGCGCAATAAAAGCTTCCATTTAAAACATAATCTTACTTTATCCCAACATTGTAACATAAGAGCATATGTATTGTACTACGTATGTAGTACATAAATACTGGTTGTAAAAATGTAGTATTTGTAGTAAAGAGTGTTATATTACTCACCGCGTCCGCCTCCTCCGGGGTCCGACTGCGCACTGATAACAGTCGCCCGCCCGACCTCAGAGGCTTACCCACCCGCCCAACGAACCCAGCACGGGAAACAGCACCTTCGAGAAAATTAATAATACCGAACTTTTAATCGTTAAGTTTATGATGAAGGTGGTGTATAGACAATAAAGCTTGTTAGTATCCGGACAGTCTGATTCAAGTATTCGTATACATAATCGTAATTTATGAAATTCTTCTCAAAACTTTGCTATAAAATTAAAGAGAAAATAATAATTTAAGTTTTACCAATCCTAAATGTTTAACCTGAGTCATTGTTAAATCTAAAAAAAGCATTGTATTACTACCTAGCCACAATTTGTGTGTCCCCGTTTATCAGTAACAAGCGAAAACATGAAATAGATACATAATTATTTATGCACGTCAAAATCCGCTTTTATTTTTGTTTTTTTTTTAATAAAAATGTAATTGTAAATCCTATTTGTAATTGTATCTTGCAACAGATTACTTATTGGGCAATAGAATTGTGTATAATAACATTTTCAGGCATAAATAAACATGTCACTGTAACTTAATTATAGTTTACAGGAAATCCTACTTCTGACTGAATCAGCCTTTATGTCTACCTGAATCTTGATTTAGGAAACCATAGTGCTTGCTTGATTGGTTATAACCGGCTAAGAGACTGAAGACTTTTAGTCCTTAATAACTGACATACTGGCATACATCAAAATAATATCGTGGTATATTCAATGATGTCATTTTATCTACCTGTTAATTAAAAAAGAGTCTCCTTGAGTTTATTTGGCCTTTCTGCTCATAAGGCTCAACCCCTTAGAAACCGGCGGTTGTAGATTTAGCAAAGGCATTTAATAAAGTTTCGATTCGTATTTATTTATTTTGCTAAATATTTCACAAAACAGAGAATTTTGCTAATGTGTGTGTTGTTCTATGACCTTTTAGTCTACATAAGAGATGATTTCAAACAATGTTTTTAGTAATTTTGGAATTAAGATATTTTGAGTTGGGGTTTGACTGTAACCAGAGATACGAATAAATCCGAAATCCTTTATTCAACACTCTTCAGTCGATCTAATCCGAGAAACGTAAGCAAATCTTAGGGTAAAGAAAAATCTTGCAAAACGTACAAGTTTGCTTGGCGTATTTTTGCCAGTTGACCTCGCCATCCCCGTGCTAGGTCCACAGCCCCGGCCGCCCGTGCATAGATTACTACATAGTATTTTATATTGACAATTGATTTTAGAATATTAAGGGATAACGGGTATTGGTTACAGGAGATTTTATTCTTTATTTGTTTTTAAATAACGTTTGTTTTTTTTTAATCCTTTGTTTACAGTGAAGCTTTTTATGTTGAGCTTATTTTGTGTTCTAAATTAATGTATCAGTGTTATTCAAACACCTTTTGATTTCTTATAGACGTTGTTTGTGGTATTCTAGTAAAATCTCTAATAATGTAAATGTTTCTGATAGTTTTGGGCTCTCATAAATGTATATTGACCTTTGAAATCGTCCGTCATCAGTAATATATATAGTCATAGTCTCTGAGGGCATAGTGTGAGTTTTATTCACATCTACTCGATCGTCACGGTGACCGCGTTCGGTACTGCAATTGGCCCCGCACAGAACCTTTCATCCATCACTAGATCCTCAGAGACTATTACTGTTCTCATCATAATGATTCCAGTGCACTACTTCAGACGACATCCGTTGTTTGTTGATAAAACAAGGTTGTAGCAATGTCTGGCGGGCACAATTTTTTTTATTTTAAAAGGGGGGCAAACGAGCAGGCGGGTCACCTGATGGCAAGCGACTCCCGCCGCCCATGAACGCCTGCAACTCAAGAGACACAAGCGCGTTGCCAGCCTTTGAGGAAGGAGTACCTACGCTCCTTTGTTGAAGGTTTGAAAGTCGTATCGGTCCGGAAATACTTGTTCCACAGATTGGTAGTGCGAGGCAAAAAGTCTCTGAATTGTTTTCTAGTTGCTGTTATTGCCGTTTCAAACCGCTACACTATCGACGTAAACCTATTTCTTATTCGTTTAACTAAGTTGCAAGAATACTAGTAATATCACCCAGTTGTCTCAAAATAGTTGACTCGAAGAAAGAATTAGCTAATGTAAGTTGTTTTAGTCTAGAATAATTAACGGCGTAGCCTAGTAGAGGATAATCAACTAGATTTTAAACATTCTTTGGTGAGTACTCTATGAGTGTCCTGTTATCTAGTAGGAGTTTGATCCAAAGGGTTACAGCTTAGACAGGGAAGGAAGAATGGACCATGCTGGAAATATGTGAAAGACAAAGAAGGAGAAGATTGTTAGAAGAGCGAAGAGTTCTGTCATGATTAGGGCAGAGATATTGGAAGTGGGATTTTAAATTGGTAGGTGAGTGGAGAAGAGAGTGTAGCATAGTCAGAGCCCTCGAACTGCGACGTAAGCGCAAATGTGATCATACTTTCCCAGGTTGAATGTGAATCGATTGCAATTGTTGAGAAGTCGGTCTAATTTATTGAGCAGATCTGCATTCAAGTCGAGATAACACACATCACCATAGTCGATAAGTGGAAAAGTTAAACTCTGCACAAGTATCGTCTTTGTTTTTATTCGTAGGAAATTTTTAAGGCGATAGAATCCTCGTAAAATATTCGTAACCTTGACGCTAGTTACCTGATTTGCCAGTTCAGAGTCGCATCGATGTGCAGACCGAGATCCTTGACCGATGTACTTACTAACAGGCAAAACGGTGTGATTAAAGATGATTTGATTGAAGATGCCTGCCTGATATTTTATTGAATTTTATGATTTGCTCCTACCCTATATTTGTAGAATATTTCTCAGTGAGAATTTTACCATAATTATAAAACATAAAATGGCGGAGTTTTGCAGCAGCCAGCCAGCAGCATGCAGCCCAGTTTTACATTTTATTTTTATGTTTTGTCGCTTATTTGAAGGTAAGATGAAAGAGTTTTCATCAATATTATTGTGATTAAAGGACCGCTGCCGTGACATTTTTGTGACCCACATAATATATCCGACCTTCAAAACCTTCCGTTGGCGGCCGACAAGGAATACGCGAAGAACTTTACGAGCTCATAAAGGAAATAACTTAAGCTTTTTAAATGTGCGGCATCGTTTAATGTAACCGAAATTACTTTTACCGAAAGGAAAAAGGTATCTCAGGTTTTTGTTGATGCGGTTTGAGGATTTTCCAAGTCATTGATTTAACGGAATGTAGCCTTTATGGTACGGATACTTTTATATGATTAATTCTACGGACCTTGGTTCTAACGAAGTAGAACCTAATGAATTTTAATTAAGAGGAACAGTTAGGTATTGAAAAAAGTGGAAAAACAATTTATTATAGTAACATTACCCTTAAAACTTTAACGTAATTGTGTCTGGCATCATAATGTTTCAGGTGGAATTTTAATAATGTGGATTGGATGATTTGAATTTGATTGATGATTTGATTTGAAATGGTGGATTTAATAAATGGGTGGAAATAATGGAAAATTCCTGCAAATATATGTACTGAAGCTAATTTACTAAGAGTGCCTTCTAGTTTAAGAAAAATCCCACCAGAAACATTTTCATGTAAAATGTTGGCAAATAAACGAAACCATATGGCCATATGGCTCTACAAGCTACATACTTTGACTAAGGTGTAGTATTTGTGAAGTTAGGACTTGTAGAGTTAGGTCGTGTAGAGATAGAAACTTGGCTCTACATAAGATCTGATAACTTTTTGAGAATGCGAGCCATATGCTCTCGTCTTAGCAACACATGAAATGTTATAGGTACATGGGAACATCCATGAAATCTTTCTTGGTGGGATTTCACATCATTCATTTAATTTTAAGTTGCTTATGACAATATTTTTTCATTTCGTTCTCGTTTTCGGGTGTATTTTTGCACATCAGAGGTGCCTTTTTTTATAGTCTACTCTCTATTTTTGCCTTTTTCTTTCTTATTCAGTCGATGATATTACCTCGCTTAAAATTAGTTTGAAACACTTAAAAGCACATTGAAAAGTTTATAAAACACCTGCAAGTTCTTGATTAAGTAGTTTCTTTAACTTCCTTTAGAAATCGAAAAGCAATAATGAAAATAGTAGGTAGGTAACGTAAGGCTGCCGCCCCTAGCGGTATATCGCCTCAGGCACGTGCCTCATTTTCTCTAGGTTAAATACTGCCTGCTCTGGTGAAAAGGACATTTAATAAATGTCATATTTTTTCAAGCGCTTCATAAGCTGCGTGATTCGCGACCTGCAAGGACAGCGGTAGATACTTATGGCCATACTGGGTACACATTTTTGTCGCTCCACTACTTAAACTAGGGTACTTTAGTTAAGTGTGTAGTACTTCAAGCGCCGTGCGTCATTCTCGAGTGACCTATTTAGAAGATACTAGAAGACTGGCGACGTACTGTACAAATACTCTATTTTAATACCTAAATTGAAATATGCAAGGATGTCAAGTAATGTCTAAACTTATCACAAGTAAACAATCATTAGGTACCTATGCAGATTCTTCTTTTTGTGGACGTTTAATAAATATACATATATTGAAAAGATTAAGAAAATTTCAGAGAGAAAACTCTTCGAGAAGCTTTTACCCCTAAATCAAACAAAACTTTGCACCTTACTTATTATACAAAATAAAATTCAAAGAATTTTTTAGAATGTTATCGAACAAAGTTCATAAATCCTTAAAAACATAAGCTTGCAAGAATGTGTTGTGTGCGTAAATCTACATTTAGGTTAGTAAAAGTCTTTTTTAGCTTAGTTTTGTTTTAATATATTATACATAGATATTATTATTATATATAGTATTATATAATGAACATTCAGGTCAGTCATCACTTATGTTTTACTCTTAGGTAATTTTGTTTACGATGCATAAATTCCTCGGAAAAACTTTCTTCGATTTTTCTCCAAGATGTCGGTATTGCTGTTACGAAAGATGACGCACTGGGGTATCATACTACCTAATGGTGGCATCATCATCATCATCAGCCTATCGCCGTCCACTGATAGAAGGCCTGCTCCAAGCCATCTATCCAGGTCTTGGGCGGTCTTGGTAACT